AGGGGTTTAATCTTTCAATATCCAGAAAGGGACGCATGATTAATTGTAGATCCTGCCACAATTGTATAGGTCAGCAATGTTTATTTCTATTTTTAATTCCCCTGACTGTCCCAATGTGGTATCGTCTCTCTTCCATTAAACCAATTATATTCTTTCAATGTGAAAACTATCCAAGTAGAACAGAATGTACTTGGAAGGGAGTTTTTTCTGGGAGTGAATGGAGAAAACTTGCAGCTCTTATGGAAAAAGAAAAGAAACAAAGGTGCAAATATAGTGACAAAGAGTAAGGTAGCTCTGACTGACCCTCTGACAAGAGTCAAGAATCAGATTTTTCTTTCGGGAATCTATTGTTGGCTCTGCTGGATTTGCTTTCCAATCCAGTCCTTAAACCTGAAATAACACTTTCTTTTTTGCCCAAATGTTCTCTCTGGGCTCGACAGCTGTTCTGATTTTTCTAGTCGTCCTCCCCAGTCTTTAAGGCAACTGTACTATTCTTCATTTTACAAGTCACTGTTTTAGTTTTGGGATTATAAAAAGATTTTCCTCTCTCGCTGCACTGTGTTCTGACAGACAGTAGCACTGTGAGTCTGATGTTATCCACCTAATAAGGGAGTTCGATTTGGTTACTGCAATGCATTTTTTTTTTTTATTCTTGCCAGATTAGATACCTACTTAGAGGTGAACTGTTTGGTGAAAGTACACCCAACTTCATCTTATCTTTGAGTAGGTGTGTGCATGTATGCGTGTGTGCATGTGTGTGTGTGTGTGTGTTAGATGAGCGCAGATATGACAGTTTCACCTGACTGAACTCAGTTGATGCTCTGCCAGCCAGACTGCCTGTGCCTCTCCTCTGGCCTTTCAATGAAAATAAATGATCCCTGGGTGGCTGTTTCTTTTTCTACAAAATGGCCACAAGTCAGCGGGAACTTAATGTCCGCTCCAAAGGGAAGGGAAATTAAAAGCTCAGAGACAATTTTCTAAAGTTCTTAATTTATCCACCAGCACAGCAGACGTTAAGCTTCTTTGTGTGTGCAGGTAGATGCATACAGATGAATATCAAAGCCGTGATCCAAGGCTGGCCTTGTTTAAAAGTAGCGGCAGATGTTGATGCCGTGATGACGGGGTTCAATACTATAAGCTTTTTCAAGCAAACTATTAGCAAGCTATTCAATTTGTGCAGGAAGCTGGGAGTGCGCCGTAGCATTGCTTGACATGAAGGGAGGCACACCAGTGCTTTTTTAAAAGAATTATCAACTTCTAAAATATTAAATGTGCTCCTCGGCAAAAATAACTTGGCCCACTTTGTGACAAATAAACAGAGCAATAATTAACCGCCTCTTGAGCGAGTCTCTTGTCTTGTTCAGATTCCCATTGCCAATGTCTTGGACAGCAGTTAGCTAAGGAAGTCTTTGTTCTGTTCTGCAGCCTTGCCGAGCTTTAAGTTGCAGTACTTTTTTTTAATTTTATTTTTTTTAAAAAGCCGTCACCAGCAGCAGACCAAAATTGTTTAAACTGCAGGACAACAAACTCTCAAGCAGCAGCTGAATGATATCAAGAACTGCCAAACTGTGACCTGCCAGCCTGCTGGTAGGGAAAAAAGGCAAAAAATACAAAAGCTCTGGTTAGCAATGACTAAACTTTCAAAATAAGAGCAAGGGAATTTCCTGCTGCAAAGATTATCGCAGAAGACACGGTTTAGAGGGGGTAGACAGAACATGAGCCAAGCCAGTATATTAATGATTTCTCACTGATCTCCAAATTTAGTTGCACTTTTAAAGAGGTTTTCAGCATTAGCTAAAAACAGCACTTTCAACTTTTCTGCTGTCACAGAAGTTAAACTCAGTCAGACCTGACTGAGTCCAATTAACACATAAATCACAGTGTGATATATCTGGTGAAACTCTTGAGAATACCGCCACTCTTGATTTATGTATTTTTAACCATAAAAAATGCCTGCGATCAGAGGGAGCTGAAATTCAAAGTCAAAGCAAATGAAAATCTACATCTCTTATTTAGTTTGTCAGCTGTCAAATCAAACGTGATTATTTTCAGAATATTTGAATATAGATAAAATTTTGATTAAAAAAACCCCAGAACTAAACAAAACAAAGACTGACAGGAAAAAAAACCCTCAAGGTTGGACAAAATTCACAAAAATGGTGATAACTAAAGGGCTATTTACCTCAGAGACAGCAAAATTCATTTCATAGCAGTGGCACTGGGGATTTCAGCAGCAGCAGAAGGCTTTTAGAGCCACACGAGACATGTGAAGCATCTTGATTTGCAAAAATCTGTTAAACAGATTCTCGGGGCTTTCATTTTATGTAAAGCTGTTCAATCTGTATGGAATCTAATGCGGTCACACCACTTACACTGCTACAGCCGCAATACAATTTAAAAAAAATATACATAGAAAAATCATCTTGTCTATAAAAATAAACCTTTTAATGAACAGACATCGCGTTCTGTGAGTGCTGGATTTTATGGTCCATTTCTGTCATGGAAAAAAGCAACAGCGATCACTTACAGACTCTTTGAGGGTAAATATTAAGAAGCAATTTGTTTTCCAGACTTTCCAGCATTTTCCCTTAATTGCATTATACTGACAAAGAGTGACGGGAATGTGGGGACAGGGAGAAAGGGTAATGACGTGTTAAAGGTCCCTGGCAGGAATCAAACAGGTGTTGGTGTAGTTAAGGCTGCTGGCTCACCGTGATGCCTCTGAGAGGAGATTACAAAAGACAGCAGTCACATATATTAAGTGCTTACTACTGAATCACCGTAAGATGAGGGATGACATTCATTTCAAGGACTTTTTGTGGAGGAAAGATAAACCCAGTGCTTTTTCTTCACTGAGCTCGAGATTAGTCCACACACCATGCTGCCAGTGAACCTTAACTATTCTTTTCTGGCATGAAATCTGCACCACAGGCAGTTCACTAGTCCATATATAGATTAGGGAGGTTTCAAAAGAGGTGAGCACATTGTGCAAATACATCTCGTTTCTTTATACATGATGAGCACTGTATACTCTAAAAGCTCACTCTCCTGTATCCACCCTGCTCGGGATACATATACAGAGATGACTCTTGCAGCAGATGGAATTAGAAATGTGTCTGGAGTCAAACAGAGGGAGGGCCTATAAAGAGTGACTTCTCCCTGCCCATAGTGTAACCTATAATTGGGGGCCCAATATCAGCGCGCCTAAAAACACAGCTTACTATTTACACTTTTTTAAAATAGACGTGTTGTGGTGGGGCAGGGCCACACTTGGCAGGATGAGGTGGATTCTCAAGGCCTGAATATGCTTCACTTGTCAGCGTGTCCACATTATCTCCCATGAACAGAACCCAAACGATGTCTGCAGCCACTTAAGTACACTTGATGTGCTTTTCCTCCAAACGGCATGCTGACGTGCTGGTGAGAAGATCCTCCTCTCGAATTTGCACAATGTCAAGCCTTGAAAATAATGTGAATAGTTAAGCTTCAATGCTTACAATCTCTGACAAGGTCTTGATTAATGCTATGGCAAAAAGGCGTTACCGGCATTCAACCAGAATGCAGAAAAGTCACTTTTAACGCACTGACACAGCAGGTTTTCCTTTTTCCAACAGTGACGCACAAATTCAGCATATCTACAGACTGAATTTTTTTTTTTTTTTTTTAAATGCTCATTCACTTTTCTCTGTTAATAACTTTTTCCACTTAATTAACTTTAACTTCTTATTTACAATTAACCATTTACAGCCAATTTACGACAACTGCTTTTATGGGGTCTGTGTCGCCGTTTCAAAGAAATTAAATTAACAAGAAGGTCAGTAGTTTGAGCTACAGGCTGTCAGGAAATGAGGAAGCGCCTTTTCCTCTCGGTTGCTACCATCACTGAGATGCCCTTGAACAAGGCCTTTAACACCCAACTGCTCTGCTGGAGATGCTCAATTGCCAATAACTGTGACTGCCGGGCAGGATGTTTAACCTAAACTAGCCTGATGAAATCTAGATTAAATCTATAATTAACAAGTCAATAGTGTCATTAGTGAACTTTTATACATACAAGATCTCACAATTTAGTCCTCTCCAGGATTCAGGACATACTATCCAGTTTAGGTTTATGCTACACAATAAAAATGTATTTCGTACATTTGCTTGTTCATAGCTGTGTTTTGAGTATGAACAGTTCTACTGAGGATATTTAAAGGGGAGCCTGACATAAGAGAAGTAAAAGCATGGCTTTCTCTTACTGTGCTGCACTAATACAAAAATAAATATTTGAGTAAAACCATCAAAAATAATCTCCTAAGCTTATAAAGATACATGATTACTGGGAACTGCATGAATCCAATTTTGCAGAAATCCCTCTAAGTAAGCCCAGTTAGCCTCTGAAATTCCCTTTAGGCTTTTCAGTTAGCCAAGGTTGTCTTGAAAACTGTCACTTCCAAAATTGTTCTTACCATCTGTAAACCAACCCCGTTACCGTTCAGAAAGTCAAACAAGACACTTACAGGTAGAAAAAAAAATGTAAAGAGAGATGATGGCAGGGACTGTGTGAACCACTCCAGATCTACCCTTCCCCCTTCCTCCTTCCTGAACAGTAGCAGATGACAATAGCTTCTAAACCAGGGCACGCCAGACATCCTGACAAAGGCAGGCTCCTCCCAAGCTGCTGAGTCCCCGGTTCCCAAATAAACACAGCCACAGGGAGAGGGCAAGAGTCGGGGATGTGGAGCATGCTGTGTCCAGACAAGCAGCAAAATGAGTCCTTTTGCCCGAGAGCAAGGCACTCTCCCAGCAAACCATAAAATTCATCTTGGACAAGGGAAATCTCTTGACACACTACAAGGCTTAATCGCATAATTAGGGCTGCAACAAAAACAACGGTGTCACACTCATTTAAAAAAAATAACATAAAATAAAATATTAGAAACTGAGAAGCAAATAACTGCATCTCCATATGCGCTGCTGCAATTGTATATCTTGAATGCTATTCAGCTCTTACTCACATGTAAGCAGGCGAAAGGGGTGAGGACCTGGATGTCTTAAGAACTGGCACTGGGAATTTCCAGCTGACAGGAGAACCGCTTTTCCATTTCAACGGCATGTTGTTGTCACCAGAATGGTGCTACAGCAATACCAACAGCAAAGACCATTTCCATGAAAAGGTTCCCAATGCAGTCTTCCATCCCACTCTGCCCACACCATTTAAGGGGGAGGGAGAGCAGCAGCGGCACCAGCAGCTACAGAAATACACTGGTAAAGGCAGTGCGGGCTACAGTCGGGGTTGTGACTTTAGCGGCAGCACTGAGAAGCCAATAGATTGCATCCACCACGACTACTTGCCCTGCTGCATTCACAGTTGTCTCGTGGTAGGAGGGGGAAGAAGCCCTGCCTTCTCATCACCCTTTCAGGGTAGTGAATAGCCCAGTAGCTAAGCAACAGTGCCACCTTGTTAGATGAGCTGTGATTACAGCTCTTGGCTTTCGGTGCAAATACAAGGATGGTAGATTAAGAAAAATATATATACAAGTAGAGCAGGGCGATATGGCCAAAAATATTTATCACGATATATATTTGAAAATTTGCGATAACGATATAACCGACGATATAATTGATGCGAGACAAAATACAACTCCACAACATTACTAGCGCAAAAAGACAGCCTTCCATTTATTTTCACTTAAACAAGAAGCTGGTTTTTATGTACATTAAAGCTTTATAAAAATGTAACAGTGCAAATGCAAATTCCTTGCTGAAAGTTTAACCAAAAGGCATTTCCAGTAGAAATGGGCTGACATATCCTGAGCATAACCATGTATAATATCCACTGAAGTTAAAAAGAGGTGCTTTGCAACATTAAACTGCAGTGTGCAGTACGCATTTTTCGGACCATAAGGTGCACGGGATTATAAGGCACATTAAGCGAAACAAAGCAGTCAGATAAATCAAACTTTATTAAACTCATTCTTCTTGCTTCCTCCACTTCTGTACCATTGATTCATTAATGTTGAATTCTCTGGCAGCTGCTCTATTCCCATGTTGTTGCAGTATATTAATGACTAACCTCGTATTGTGGATGGATTATCTCAGTTGTTCTCCTGACTGAAGTTTGGTCCGTTTACAGCATCCTGCCATGCGATTGCATTTGTCTCTAACCATGAAGAACCTTCACGTTAACTTTTATAAGTGGAAAAGTGTTAGTGTTCGTCCTCCAGCTTCACTGTTTATGTTATGCTAACATAGCTGTGTCGCTAGCGATCACGTAGCACATCATTATATACCAGCTAGCCCAACTTCAGTAACCCTACAAACGTTACTGCTGTTTAGTTTCCTGTCTTCATTTATGTTGGAAGTGATAGCAGAGCTGTACGTTTGATTTTTTTCAGAAATCTCTCAGTCAGAACATGCTATATCATGCTTAGGTAACTAGCGAAACTAGCGAGCTAACTTCCGCTAGCTTCCTGCTAACTTCTAACTCCGTTAAATGTAATAACTTTTGTTTTCATGGATGCCTGGAAGTTAAACTTTATAGTTACACCTGGTAAAGCAGCAATGCTGATCGTTTTATTAAAGATGAAAGAATTTAGACAGTTTTTAACTCTAAGTGATGCTGCAGTGTTGTTTGACCTGAAGAATACGGAGTTTAGGACCCAGATTGCTCCCAGATTTAAGAGCATCTTAGTCCGACAAATACGACAATAACAACGGCCGCTTGCATGTTCTGCAAAAAAAATGTGCTTTGTTGTGTATCTGACGGACAAACACCAAACCAGTTCCACATCACGGAAGTTGCACCATTTTTACAAACCAATTCTGGTTCATCTGTTTCACTCAACAATCGGCCATGTGCGTATGAAAACAAAGGCACTGCGCATGCGCGTTTTACTCCCATTCTATCGCGATATTTCATTTTCCTATCGTTGCCTAACATTATACCGGTATTACCGTGAACGGTATAATATGGCCCAGCCCTATATACAAGTCAATTAAAAAACAAACAAACAAAAAAACAACCAAAGGATCCAGTCTCAAGAGATGGGCATGTCACTGATTAAACTATATAGTTCTATATACTAAGTACTGGACATGGGCCACTATATTCATATTCCCATTGCCTTTTAAATTAACAGTACAGAAAGAGCGCAAATTGATCAAAATTTTAACTACACTACCTGAACTGTTCCACTTTACCAAACCTAAGCATGTAGGGATTTGGAGTCAACTGCAAGTTGATGTTCTCTTCCTCTTAAATTATCCCCCACACAAAACTGATTGGAAGGCGATTGGTGGTGCAGTTGGATAATGACCTAAAACCATGGAAGCAACCCAAGAGCTTATTAAGGCAAAGGAGTGGAATGCTCTTAAATGGACAAGCCAATCATCTAACTTCAAACCAACTAAGCCCACCTTTCCCTTACTGAAAGAAATAAAACGGAAGGCACAAACAAGACCCACAAACAAGCAGGTACTGGTGCTAGATGCAGTGAAGGCAGGGCAATGCATTCCACAGGAAGAAACATCATTTGGTAAGATGCTCTGACTCAAGACTTCAGACAGTCATTAACTGCAAAGGATTTGCTGTAAGGAGTCCCAGTAGGCTTTGCTTTAGGTCACAATACCTTTGAGATACAATGCAACACCTTTTACAATCCATCTGATTAATAGATCAGATGATCGAACACATCGACAGCTGAGATTTACACTGATGTTATAGAATATTACGTTACGGACTACAGCCAGCTTTTTAGCTATAGCATAATTTTCTACCTCTGCAATTAACTAGAGGAGCCTAAAAACTGCTGCTCAGGCTGTACGAGTCAGACTGTGGTCACGGGACGACAGAGTTGTCACTGTGATTGTGGCTGTGGCCATGGCTGTGCTTTGGACACGGGCATGATTAAAAGGCTTTGACACATTGGTTTCTGCTGCGAACTGAAATGGCTGTGCATACTGCAGGTTCTGAACTCTTGTGCTGCGTGGGTAAGTCATTTGTCTTACCTACGCTTTCTTGGCTGGGAGGTCATAGAAACAGTGCAGAGTAGTTACAGCACAGCGAGACATATCCTTAGCGCCACAGATTGGCTGATAAATGCAACCACAGTTTATGCTATGCCCGCTTCCACAGTCAGAAAGGGCAGATCCATCTAAAGGCTATGCACAGTTATACATATGCAACAGGGCTGCCCTTGAAAGTTAACACTTCATTTAATGAAGCATTTAATGAACATATCTAATTTGATTAACATTCCCCAACTCAAATCAATTATTTATCTACCTGACAACAAGGGCTGTGAAAACTAGGAAAACTGACCAAAAGTCACTCTTATTTGAAAAACACACACAAATATTTTAAATAGCTGCACACATTATATGTGCACATTATGTCCACAAGTGGTCAAACAATAGAACTAACCTGAACAGGTACATGTACTTCAACATAAACATGCCATTTACAAGCCCTACATTACCACATATTACAAAAAATATATATATATAAATAAATAATAATTTGCTTCTATTATAAAGAATGGACATTCGACACCCTTTGCGAGGTCTGCTGTGGCAAAACATGGAAGATTAATCGTTTGCTCAACATGCAAATGGGAAATAATCAAACCAGCAGGGGGCTTAGGTCCACGAAGCTTTGATCATCATCCTGTTCTCTATTCAGTATCTAGCCAGTTAAGGCTCCACGATTTGATGTCTGCTGACAAAAATCTATTTTACCAAACAGGAGTCAGAATGTAAATCATTATCTGGAGCCAAGATGGGGTTTCATCTTTCTACCATTATTATCATACGACTGTTTTAGAAATTATTCCAGGCGTAAGCTTATCCCCTACGGAGCCGGAGCAATCTGAAAATTTTGTATTTAACAGCTGTGGTTCAGACAAAAAAAAAAAAAAAAAAAAAAAAAAAAAAAAAAAAAAAACCAGCCCTCAAGTTTTTTCATGTATTTTTTTTATCGTACTGTTATTGCCTGTCTTAGTTTTTGGTTTTTTTTTTGGTTTTTTAAATGGTACACATAATAACAAACTAAAAGATTTTTTGGGGGGGAAAGTAGTTTTAAAAAGTTGAAAAAAAGACATAAAATGACTTAACACCTGCTCACCCTCAGCTGTTCAGCTGATATTTTTGTCCACTTCAGCTACATTCACCTGCTCCCTAATTCAAAAGGGTCACCACAGCAGGTAGCTTTCTGACACAACCCCAAAGGGATACACATCTGCCCCTGGGATTTAACTGGATATGTTTTACTTGGTAGGTGAATTTGTAAACCACTCCACCATGGAGCCACATTTACTTGGCCACTTATGTTCCCTGCTTGTGGCAAACTAACAGTGAAAATGTACACCTGTATTTTCATCTACACCATAGTTACTGGGTAACCGCACACCCTTGTCTCCCCCTGGAAATGTAACTACATGACTGTGATTGACCTCATCAGTATAATCCTTTCTTCTTATTTCTTCCAACTCCTGTTTCTGCCCTTATTTTTTATTTTTTTTTTGAATGGACTAGATCAACTTAAACAGAAACTTGATTGCAAACCAGTGTTTTGGAGGCAAAGCTGCAGTACAACAGAGACACAACAGCACAAGCATAAATTTTGGCAACGTCACCAGCCCTGTGCGTGGACTACAAAATAGGCTCTCCACAGATTCGACTCGCACAAGTCATAATTAGTCTTAAATCCTTCACCACTCTCTGCGTATCTGAGGTCTGAGTGAGACGTCCACCTAAGATGCTACCTTTGCCATATATGAATATGGAGAATTCAAAACACTTAGCATTACATTTTGTGATTCTTCTAACTTTTTATTTGCCAGAGACTGCGAAAAGCACCGAGAGCCAACCAGAGGCCAATTCCAAAACAGTGTTTTTGTGTGTTAATTAAACTGCAAATCGGTTATATCAGATAGACTTCTTGGATCATTGCAAAAAAAAAAATATTAAAACGTAATATGTCTATGTATGTAATATCTACTTCTTTAAAAATACAACAGTAGCAGCATTTCAAAATAAATCTTTCTTCTCTGTGTTATTTTTGTCTAACCTCAACTCACCATCAGACTGCTGCAGTTTCAAGTGGCCAAGAGTGCACTGTCCCGCTATTACAGGAAAGGCTTCATGTGAAGTGTTCAAGCATAAATTCTTTCTGGTGGCTGATTTTGTGACAAAGTCCCTCTCAGAAAAGATGAATATTTGTCCACTTAATCTGTTCTTGTGTCAAATTTCAGCTACGCTACATGTGTGTGCAAGCACCCCCTCTGTAGTGGATATTCCTGCATATGACATACAAACCCAGCACTAGCCAAACAATAACATCTTTAAATAGTCTTCTCTCCTCTTGCATTCTGAAATACATATAACGGTCATGACCCTTTTCCCCCTCTCTTCTTCTCCTCAACTGGCGGTGCCATCTGTATTACAACCCCC